CGCTCTCATCCAGCATCCCGTCTACGTCACCCCCTTCAAACAGGAAGCTGTGATCCTTTACGTAATTCGGCCAGACGATGCGATCAACATAATCCGGTGGGTCTTCCCAGAACCCCTCCAGAGTAACGTACCCACTCCTAGCTTCTCTTCTCCGTTTCGCGGTCTGGTAAGAGGTACGTAGGAAGAGCTTCAGGTCGAACAGTTGACGGATATCCGCCATATCTTCTGAGAAAAGCAGAAAGCCGTCTACGATCGCAATCGGCGTAGTCCATCCCTTCTCTCTAACCAAGTTTCTAGCCATCTTCTTCAACTCGTCAATCGTGTCTGCGTCAACGCCGTGCTCGCCTACTGAATTCTGATCCTCCTTGGACACAAAGCTTGGCGGAGATTTTCCATGCTCCTTGATGTACACCAGGGCAGACTGGAGCTCGGGGAGGTTTAGCGATTCCACACAGTCCCAGTCTTGAATGCCATTCCTAACGGGAATTTCGGCATCGGTGAGGTAAAAGTCGTCAAGATGGAGGATGAAAACCAGGTCGGGCGGGAAGATATCGCGTAAAAGTCGGGAGAGGGTTGTCTTGCCCGAGGACGAGGGTCCGGAGATGCCAAGGAGGAGGACTGGCCCTGACAGACTCTGCGAGGTTGATGTTGACTCTGCCATGCTGCGAAGCTGGCGATGGCCAGACTGGGACGGCACGTGAGAAGTGAATTGTGCCCAGGCGTGGAGACCAGCACCTTGCGTTATGTCATCGGTGCACAGATCGTCTTGCGGTCCGTGCTAGCAATTTGTAGCTTCAACACTCGACACCATGAATACACGGACGTCTTGACTTCGACGTCCCGAGACGGAAATCTTTCGGTCTTTTCCCAGCCCTCGTGCTGTGTGCGTCCCCATCATGGAGCCTTCGCCGCTCACACAAGACTCGCGGCCGGACTCATTCCAACCCAAGATCATCCGTCTCTATGAAACATTGTTTAGGGTTCGTTTGCTACGCCCTCGTCGCCCAAGGGCTATTGGCTGAGTGTGGCTACAGGAGGACGATGAGGACTACGACTTCTCCGACGGCTTCTGGGAAGAGTTCTTCCTCTTGCGGCCAGACGGCCCTGGCCTCAAGCGCCTGCTGGGTACCATGGACCCCGACGACATGCTCCACACACAGGCGCATTCGCAGCAGCTGTTCCTGCGCGCCATCCAACGCGTGAAGCAGGCCACGGCACCGTCAGACGAGGTCGCGCTCGATGTACGCGCCCCATGACGTCCCCTTCATATCCCCTCCATCCCTCCTCCATTGCTCTTTCATTGCTCTTCGCTAGCTCACCGGCCCAGACCTTGACAGTCTTCCTCGAAGCCGCCCTCGGCAAGAAGTACACCAACCCGAGCTCCGACATCCTTTCCATCCTAGCCGGCCTGCACGATGCCGACGCCGTCATGTCCGACTTCGTGGCCACGCTTGATACCGTCATCCGCAGTGGCCGAAGCAGTGAGCCTCATGAGAAGCTGCCATGTCTCCCGCTGACCTCCCACAGTGGCTCTGCGACTCAAGGCGGTGCGCACATCCCTTTCCATCGCTGCCGCCGGCTTCCATACGGCACTGCCGTCGTACTTCACCCACCGCGATCTGTTTCCTTCGCTCATGAAGGTATGAAACTGCGCCTCCAGTGCGATTGCATGCTCATTGCCCCAGTACATACAAGACTGCGACGACAACACCCAGGTGTTGCCAGCCTTCTACTTCCTTGGCCTTCTGGTCAACTACAACAAATTCGAGTTCCAGAATCCGTATCGGCTACGGCTCGACGATTTTGTGAACGATGGGATAATACAGAAGATGATTGGAAGCTTTGGCGCCACCTGCTCTAGCTTGAGGGATGCATACGTGGCAGTCCATGACGACATGCCGGAGGGCTGGACGTTAGGATCGACACTGAATTACATTGGTCTAGGGGTGCTGGCGCCTGCTTCACGACCATCAACACCTGTGCCCGCTCTTGAGGAGACCAAGTCGCTATTTGCCGCACTCCCAGGCCCAGAAATAGGCCTTCTTCTCTCCACCTATGACTTTGCAAACGCGAACAAAGTCTTCTGTTTCAACCTCGTAACCATGGCGCCATCCAGCAAGGGTGACGCTTCGCCTTTGAGCTCATTCCTTTCACTCACCTCATATCTATTTCAGCATGCCCATCGATCTCATAGATCATCATTGTATACGTATCTTAGTCTCTTCGTACTGCAAATTCTCGTGGAGGATCAACTTCTGGTCAAGCGACTATGCAGCGACGAGAACAAGCTTTCAGCGCGATTGTGTCGCCAAAGACAGCCGTATTTGCCCCTAGCTAAAGGCGACCGCGTCCCAGCCGCCATCATCATAGACCTCATGATTGATGGCATTAACCACAATCTACGGAGAAAACTGGACGTAGAGCTTTACCTGTAAGTCGACGTAGCTATGTTACGAGATGTAGTGCTAAACTTGCGTCAGTCTTTGCCTTGGGGTCTTACTGCGATTGTTGTCGTACCTGAGTAGAGCCAAGGTTCGCATTGCGTATCATTGGTCTGAGCTATGGAGAACTCTGCTCTCATTTTTCCGCTTCCTATCGACTTACACCAATGACGTGAGATCCATTCATAGGTCATCGGAGATGGTTGACCTTCTTGTCAACTTGCTCGCATTCGCGCTCTCTAATGGAGAAAATTTTCTTCCCGATCCAGCGGCATACGACGACTTATTTTACAAAGTTGTCGAGACTGGCGATATCCTCGCTAAATTCCGAGATGCGTTTGGAATGTCTGGCCAATCTGGAAACTCCATCCAGACGTTGATTAATGTTTCCTCACATTATCATGCACTATTGGAAGGGAATGAAAAGGGGAAACCCCGAAGCAACAATCTTAGCCCACGCGAGGTCAGTGATGTGATCAAGCAAGGCTACGATACACTATCGATCGAAGCCGGCGAGGGTCTTGATCGGTGGGAAAGATTTCGCGAGGCCGATTTCAAGACGTTCCTCAAGCGAATAGCGAGAGCGGCGGTCGACGATGCAAAAGCCTTAAATATGGAAAGATGAATTGGTAACGCCGACGATAAATTCAGTCTTACCTTCTACTTTGTGAGACGAAGACGAGGGGATTGGTGTGTTCAATGTTGGTCGTTCATTCGTTGAGTCAATGAATGGCTCAACCACAACTTTACGCGAGCTTCACCTGGGTCTCAATTATTCATCCCATCATAGTCTACCATAAGTTGACACGTTTTGCGTTATGACCCAACAAGTTTGCCAAACGCACAGTCGACTCAAAATCGAACACTGTGTTATCTACTGCCCCTTCAACGAGTCTCTCTCGTTAGGCCTTTCTCTCGATCCAGTGTTTTCATATTTGCTGTACGGTGCAACACAATGTCGGTCGGTAGTCCTATGTAACTGTTGGCCCAATTGAGTGTTGACCATGCATAGGCGCGATGCCAGGTGACGACCCCCGAGGAGATCAACCGTCTATCCATATGCCCAAGTTAGTACCGAGAGTTGAGTCTCAGACATACAACGATTCTAGACTCGAAAGGCCAGGAGCAGATCAGCGGGAATTGATCAACAACTCAGCCCAAGAGAACGAGACGATCACCCTCGATACCAGCCATGGCGTACAGGACCCACAAGACGTAGCAGACCCCTCGACTGTCAATGCAGCCGCCAACAGCGTTGAGTCCGTGAATACTAAAGAAGAATCTGATACGAATGAAGAATCAGCCCCATTACCGCTGGGCTCAGCTAACTCTAAGCCCCCTTCTAGCCTATCGTTCTCATCGCATGGCTCCGGATCAGACGTTACCGAAAGGAGGGTCAACCCCAAGGACACACTTACGCGGAACAAGCGGCCATGCCAAAAGGAAGACGAATTCGCATCGGCAGCAGCTCAAAATGTTGCCAAGAGACTCAGCTACAAACCTATCGCTCAACTAGTTGATAACACACATCTTTTTCGCCTCTGTGAGAGTGTACCCTACATCCTTGGGCCCAAATTGTACTTGGATGCGCTAGTTCGAGCGGTAGATTATCCAATTCTTCCGGACGGAACGCTCGACGATTATGGATTCACCGAACAGGACAGACTTGGCCCCGCAGACATGGCACTTATCACAATACTCATCCTTCTTCGACTCCCTGAGGCGCACCGCAAAGGTGCACCTGACTATGTATTACTAGGCACCCAGACTCAAGGAAATAGTTTGGTAGTGTGGAAAGACGTTGGCCCGTTTGAGCCTCAGGTCATGGGACTCACAGTAGGAGAGTTTGCCGCCCTGTACATAGAGTGGGGCCTCTACCCGAACCCGGCCTTATGTGCGAACAATCGTCCAGATGTTCAAACCCCGTGGTCCGAAATAGTTGAGATGTTCCATTATCGTCACATCGACGTGAGACCTATCGATAGTGACCTTTACTTCAAGTTGACAAGAACACCCGTTGGAGATATGCTGTACCAGGAGCTAGAGAAGGCACAACAAGCTGCCGAGTCCAGCGAACTCCCAGAGACGAGAAATCAGTGCGAGAGAACCAAACACATGTCCAGAGGAGCCATCGCCCATCATCGAAACTCGTTCTCCTATGTTCAACCGATGTCCCGCGACCGCACGCAGCTCTACTCAGTCCGCTTTTCACACGAATACCCTCAAGGCAAACTTCACGACCCCAAGGACGACGCCAATCACATCGACGAGCACTTCGCCAACTACGCCACGACCACGCGCCGCAAACCGAAACTCGAACAAGGCATCGCGGTACTCAAGGCCAAGAAGCGCGAGTGGTCTAGGACTCGGTGTGGGAAGTGGACGAAGACGACGGTTATTCTTATGTTTGTGTGTGCGGTTCTGGCGACGCTGTTACTGTTGCTGTACTTCAAGATAGTTGCCACGGATAGGAATAAGTTTTGAGTCGTGGAATTTTGAGTTTCTTGGGCGATAGATTCTGCGTGTGTTTCTATTATATGCTAATACACCGTTTATGACACTCGGACTCCTGGGTTGTTCGTCTCCTTTCCGCGATCTGGTCTCGTCCGCTCTTCACAACGCTACCAACCATAACTCCCATCATTATGCAACAACCCATCCTCCCCATCCCTACCCCCCTCAACCAACTCGACAAGCGGTCTCACGCTCTCCCCCACCTCCCTCGCCCCTCGCTCCCTCGTATTATGCCCGCTCAACCCACTGACCGTAAATCCGGGATCAAACGCCAAGACGTCGATCCCAAACTCGGCGTACTCGACCTCATACATGCATTCAGCATATTGAGCGCCGCCTTACTCGCGCGGTACTGCCAGCCGCCAGCCATTTTGTACCTAAAAGGGGGGCCATAGATTTAGCGTGGGTAAACAAGAGTTCCGAGGGGAATGAGGCGTGGGGTTTGCAAAAAAGCTCGAGGTGTGAGGGTTAGGTAGGGAGGGGGGGGTAGGAGCTCACATGGCAGAAGCAGGATCCAGACGTCTCGAAATCGAGCCCGCGCCAGACGAGACGTTTACGATTCTCCTCGTCTCGCACGTCGACTTCTTCAGCAGCGGCAGGAAGGTGCTCGCGACGACGGCGGGCCCCGTGGCGTTGGAATCAAACGCGCGGCTCAGCTGCGCCCTCAAGCTCAGATCCTCGCCCATGGCGCTGATGGCCGCGTTGTTGACCAGCATGTCTAGTCTTCCGTGGGTCTGCCCCACGCTCGCGGCGGCGGCAGCGATGGTGGCATCGTCCGTGACGTCCAGGTGCAGGAGCTCGACGGAGCCCGGAGGGTTCTGGGATGTTAGGGTCGAGAGGGCGGCGGTGCCTTTTGAGGGGGAGCGGCTGCCGAGGAGGACGTGGTAGGTGCCGAGGGAGAGGAGTTGGGAGGCGAGTTCGAGGCCGATGCCTGAGGTTGCTGGAGGGGGGTTTAGCGGGGTGGGG